CCCCCCCCCCATTGGGTCTGAGGGCCTCTGACAGATGTCCCCACAGCGCCCCCACGGCAGTCCATCTCGAACCTGCAAGGCTAGCCACAGTGCAGATGGAGAGAAGCGACAGCCTGTCCAGCCATCAGCCATGCTCACCTCGCGCACCTGAACCACTGGTCCGCCTAGGGCTGGCGTGGGCCAAAGAAGTGAACTTCATGTATGGTCCTCCAAGAACAGGTTGATGTTTCAAACCGGCAAGTCTTCCAGGTCCATCACAGGTGACGAGCGAAGAAACCTTTAGAATCCTGGATTGATAGACTTGTTAGAGGTGGGACATGAGTTCCTGCATCCCGTCGATTGTCAGCCATTTGCTGTTGTTACTGTTCCCCTTGATCCATCTTTCCGCTGACGTACAAAAGAGGCTCACAGTTGATTGGAACTCAGCTTCAACAACCCCAACAAGGGTCAAAAGTACTCTCACTCGGGACAAAGAACCGGTCCCGTTACACCGTTGGGCCCTTTTCTCTTTCGCTGGACTGGAGGAAGACACCACCCACTCTCCTCCGGAGAGTGGCCTGGACCCAGCTCGACGGTGACCTGGAGGGCCTCGCCGCCCTCTCGGCCAGCTTTGGTGCTGCACAGCAAGCCTCATCCACGTCGGGCGGGCCGGCTCGGCTCAGTCCGAATGTCCCACCGGTACGCGTCGGCGGCCACAGGTGCCAGTCCACAGGTAAGGGCGACACCGTGTCAGGTGCGAAAGCTGGAGGTGGTTTGGTAAGTTTCTGGGCGAACGCGACGAGGTGGATGTGGTTCAAGTGTTGAACATCTGAAACAAACACCAGTGTCTTATGATACACTCTGACGAACACATTACATGGAAGTGGAAAAGTGTCCCTTGGAAGACTACTTTCCTTTAAAAACGGGGGGGTCCACTTGGATGTTAGTGAGACAGAGTGTAGTCTTATATCATTGAGACCACTTCGTCTCCGAAATTCTCAACTCCTCAGTCCAAGTGGCGCATGCGTGCCGGCTTGGCGAAGCAGCGCTTGAGGAAGCCGCGCGCCGCATCGTAGGAGACATGGCGTGTCGCATCCATTCGGTGTCCAGCGACGTGGCCTTGTTGGGTGGGACAGATCAATGGAGGTCTCGCGATGGACCCGGCCCCCGTCTCCAGCTCCGCAAAACGTTGGAAAATGAGCTGGGGCACTGAGCGACAACACTCGGATACTTGGCAAGGGCGCTGGATTCTGCTATCGTCGCATGACCACCAGATGGCCGGAGCTGCCCTGGCGCCGGGTTTTCTAGTGGTGCCGCCGACCCTCTGAGAGCGAACCACTCCAGTGCTGGAACCGAACCTCTGAGAATGCACAGAATGGGTCTTGCTTCAGGTGTTTGGTTTACATTCAGCATGCTGGCACCCCATGCGTCCAAGACAGCAGAAAAAACACATATGCCAACATATGCCGACTCACTAACTTTCGAGTTTCTGCGCAACAATGCACAACTATACATTCTGATGGACGCATACGACCCGTGAAAAACGGCGTGCCCACCGTCGAAAACGTCAACCTTTTGGCAAAGAAATTTCCACCAAACCACAACGAACCTCTAAGCAGTGACCTGTAGAGTCTGTAGAGGCACCCCCCCAGGTCAGATGTACACCCTGCGCAGGTCGTTCTTTCAGCAAGTCTCAAAGGGTACAAACACTGACCATCTTCAGTCAACCAACATGCTGGTCTTGCAGAGCGTAGATTTACTAGGAATTCAACAAGAGTCTGGCTTCGCTGGTCTTGTGCTAAGGCACTGACCATATCATCTACGATCAAAGATGGTCAAAGCTTGGTCCCAAACCTTTCCTGCAGGAGCCAAGCAAGAAGAGCTCAACCCCAAGCTGCGTCGAGCTCTACATGAGGCTCCCAGGAAAGGAAGCGAGCTGCCATCATCATTAGCTGGACCTCTTACTGCTGCCATCATCATCCAGTGGCAAACCAGGCATGGAGGCAAAGAAAGGATATCTGGCCAAGCAACAAACCAAATTAAAAGATATTAAAAGTAAAGAAAACATAATGAATGATATGTCTGCCAGTACTTCTCTCGAGCCTGCTGTGGTTATGTAAATGGTTCCAAATATTATATGCCAATACAAAGCATACAATGGCTCGGCTTATCAAAGGTTTCTTCTGGAGTGGAGTGTAGGCCATTCTGAAGAATTTCACGCCTCAAGACCTCCTCTCACAGGATTCAAACAACATCTCGGGATCCATTGCAATGCATGAAGCGATCTGTCGATGTGCACTAGATGCACCCTCACTGAGGCAATTGAGCACATTTGATCACCATGATTCTTTCTTTCTCAGGTGGAGCGAAGGGGTTCTTGATTCTTGATGGTTCTTCTCGATTCTTGATAAACAAAAACATGTCAAATGTTGAAACCAAACTGGGCTGTGCTTTTCGGAGCAGATGAGAGTCAACGAGTTGGTCTGGCACCTGAAGAACAAACCGCTCTGAGTGAGCTCTGCACTGCTCTGCATTCAGGATGTAGTGAAGGCTATCTAAGGAGGATCATACACGCAAAGACAAACCCACTGTCCACGTGTTTTAAAGAGCTCCCCATGGTGAATTCCTTTTCCACATCTGTTACAGTCCTCAGTCATTTGTAATTTCTAGTTATGCATCTTCGAGCCAGCTGCGGTCAAACAACAGTGAGCTTTCTTAGTTGTTGATCTCAACCACTCTCTCATTCATGTTTACATACCCAAAAACACTCCATACAACTGACATATTTACCCGTGACTCTTCCAGGAACAAAGCTGGCTTTGTATTTGTCCATCTAGAAGGGAGAGCAGCTCAGGAGACGTTGCGGAGCTCCGTGTTCCACAAAACCCACAACCCTGGATGCGGCTCCCGCCATCTGCTGAATCCTGAGCCGTCGGACTGGTCTGCCATCTCTTCAGCAATCTCCTGGAAAGCGCGAGGGGCATCAGGGGCATCAGGGGCATGGGGGCGCAGGCGGGCGCAGGCGGGCGCAGGCGGGCGCAGGCGGGCGCAGGCGGGCACAGGCGCATGGTGTTGAAAAGTTGGACAGGAATCTTAGGCGACTACATCATCTAGAGGCTCTCTTTTCAGTAGATGAGTCGATGAGCACGTGGTCCAAAAAATTGCCCGCCTACAAGTACTCAGTGGCTTGCCCTCAATGTGACATCGATGTATCCCGTGTCTGGCATCATGTCAAGTCTCTATTCAGAGGACTGTCGAGAAAGTATCCTCCAGACGATTGGAAGCTGTCTAATACACATATAGTATGTGCAGAAATGATATAACAAGGTACACATACATACATATATATTACACAATTATATATACAGTATTGCAGATTGAAATCCGCCAGCTTCTACTTTGGATCTATTGGGGCGTTGCGGTAAATGTATATACATCTGGCTGAGCTATAATATTTCATAGGTCGTTGGGTCGTAATTCGCTATTTCAAAATGGAAATAAGGATTAGGTCGTTGAAATACCAAAATATTGGGTGAGGTCGGGGTTGGTGCGCGCGATGTGGCGCGATGTGGCCACGGAGCCTAGCAGCCTATCTGCGTCAGATAGGGTGTTTCTGGAAATTTATGGGTTTCTACTATTCAGTTGTCCGCTTAGTCTAGTCGTCCGATTCTCGCTTCGGCTTTGCGAGGTCCTGGGTTGAATTGCTTGTTCGGACTTCCAATCCCGAACAATAGGGGCAGCAATGGTTGTAGCCCAAGCGCCTATCTGCGTCAGATAGGTCGTTTCTGGTTTCCCAGCGGTTGGGCACAAGTGGTA